GTCAGGGCATGGCTAACTCAGAGATCCAACCCTGAAACAACCTCTGGGCTGATCAGTGTCAGGGCATGGCTAACTCACAGATCAAACCCTGAAACAACCTCTGGGCTGATCAGTGTCACCAAATAAAAAATAATCTATGGCAATACACATTTATTTAACATTTTGCTCATCACATCAAATACTCTTGTGCTAAAGTTGATTATACATTTAGTCATTTAAACAATACTGTGGAACAGTACCTAAAATGAGTGTACAGTACTTGGAAATAATTTTCGTAATGAAACTATATATTACAAATTCTAAAGTAATGTATCACTTTATTTGTAAACTCTCTGCAGTAAGAATATGGCTTACAAGATAGTCAGAGCTTCCAATGGTGATGCCTGGTTTGAAGTGAATGGTCAGATGTACTCACCAAGCCAAATTGGTGCATTTGTACTGATGAAGATGAAGGAGAYGGCTGAAAGTTACCTAGGGACTACAGTAACTAATGCTGTAGTTACTGTACCAGCCTACTTCAATGATACCCAGAGACAGGTAAGAAAAATTACAATATCGGAGTTCATTCATGGTGTTACAATAMATTTCATCTATGTTTTTCCCATTTCAGATCCATCTCTTTCCCTTGCGTATTATTCTCTTTTTTGACTCTTACTATGGTTTTCGATATTCTCAGATATTTCAACGGCTTGTTGAGATTTTTGTTTTTGCTGCAGCCAGTCAATAATATAAAAGGTACCAACTGATTACTTTTGATTGACGGCAGCGAAAAAACAAATTTCAATGTGCAGCTTGTATCTTCGAGTTCACAGAATATCGAAAACCACAGTAATATTTGAATAAATACRTTGTGGTTAGAAATTCAACAATAAAAACTTGCCTTCAAAAAGGTGCCTGTATAACAAGAATTAGACAGTTTCATAAAATTTTTAACTCTTGGATAAGAATGACTATGTTCCTTTGGGTAACACAGTACTTTTTTGAATCCATTTTTAGGCCACTAAAGATGCTGGTCAAATCGCTGGTCTAAATGTTTTAAGAGTAATTAATGAACCAACGGCAGCAGCTCTGGCTTATGGAATGGACAAGACAGAAGATAAAATGTAAGTCTATTTCTAAGTAATAAAACTTTACTTGATGCAAGTTCTAAACTTTTCAGTCTTTCAATTATTGGACTGTGGTTATA